CTTATACAATTAAAACCAGTGAATTGCCTTTTCATCCAATAGTTACAAAGTTTTTAAAATTATCTGGTACGTCTGCCTGGGCGAATCTACATACAACAATTTATTGGTAAGACGAATCACGTACATAAATTGGCACGTGCAAAGAGGTTAACCACTAGTGAATGTCGGAGCCCGACAGGTATTTTCTGCGAAGTCGAATAGTGGACAGGGCACACAGCAGCGAAAGTGAATCGTCATTCGAGAGCACGATAATGGAGGAGTCAAGGCAGTCAACCGCGGCCGGCGGGGACCACATGAACGCCATTATCGTTACTTTAAATGCATTGAGGGCATCCGTCGAAGAACTGCGAAATAGCACGATGGAAAGCCAACGTGATATTATACGATTGCGCGAGGGCATGCAGCCGCCAAACGAAATTGGGCAAAGTGCAACATTGCAGCCAGCACAGGGCGAATCAAGCCAAATGGTCGTGCCAGCGACCGATTCGCAGGTGAAGTTGTATGATTTGCCAACATTTGGGGGCAATGCAGAAGAGTGGCCACTCTTCTTCGCCAACTTTAACGACACAACAGAAGCATTTAGGTATAGCCACCGACAAAATCTTATGCGCCTGCAGAAGTGCCTTGTTGGGGCGGCCAAAGAAGCGGTAGCTTCACTACTTATTTACCCCGAGGATGTGCCGAACGTGCTGAACGAACTGCAGTTCAGATTCGGTAGACCCGACATCTTGGTAAAATGGCAGTTAAATAAATTGCAACAATTTCCGACAATACCCGAGCACAAACCTGAACAAATAGTACCTTTTTCTACTAGGGTGCGCAACGTAGTTGCATTTTTGAAATCGGCAAAGTGCCAGCAACATTTAGCAAACGTCTCGCTTTTAGAGCAAATGATTTGTAAGTTGCCACAAAACAAGCAGTTTGACTGGGCAAAGCACGCTGTTGACATTAAACCATACCCGACCATCGAGGATTTTTCGAAGTGGCTTAGTGAGCTAGCAAGAGTTGTGTGTTTAATGCCGACAAGCAGTGCACACAGTCACAAGCAGAATTCATCTGCAAGCAATCCCCGGCGTGTAATGCACATCCAGGACGAAAGACCAACAGAGACGGTGGCATGTTCTCAGTGCGGCGGCGATCATTTAATCTCGAAGTGCGATAAGTTTAAGGCGTTGGGTGTTCAAGCGAGATGGGAAGTTGTTAAGAGAGTTCCTGCCTGCGCAAAGGCCATAGTACATCGAAATGTCGCTCCAAAAGATCGTGTGGTATAAATAGCTGCCAGCGGTACCACAATCAGTTGTTGCACAACGACGAAAGCCGACTAAATACATCACGGCAAATTACACAAGATGAAAACACTCAGCCACTGTTGAACTGTCGCCTTGTGCAAGCAGCAACTAAGCAGTTGTTTAAGATGCTACCGGTCAATATCTACGGACCTAATGGTAAGTTCGCAGTCCTGGCAATGTTCGACGAAGGTTCGGCAATAACGATCCTGGAAGAAGCCGTCGCCAAAAGGATTGGTGTTAAAGGGCAGTGTCATCCCCTCACACTGCAATGGTACGATGATAGAGTGGTGACCGAGCAGTCATTTAAAGTAAGTCTGGAGATTGCGGGTTGCTCGAGCAGCAAGAGGTTCACGCTGAGAGATGTGCGCACGGTGAAAAATCTAAATTTACCAGAACAGTCCTTTACAAAAGACGACTTCGAACATTTACGAGAATTGCCGCTACAAGATTACCCCAGCACGAAACCTGTCCTGCTCATTGGGCTGAATCAGGCACATCTAGGTGTTACCACAACCATAGTACAAGCTGACATAGGCAGTCCGCTAGCTGCCAAAACGTCATTGGGTTGGGTGGCATATGGTCCGACTAAGCTTGCGTCAACGTCAAGTCTGCGAGTACTCCACATGCGAGAATGGCAACATCTGCACCAACTGGTCTCGGACTACATCACAACGGACAACTACGGTTTTAATCCTGCATCAGTCAAGCTTGAGTCTGATGCCGATAAGCACGCCAAATCCATATTGGAGGCAACAACGCGAATAATAGGTAAGCGTTACGAAACTGGGCTTCTTTGGAAAATGTTTCCACCACACTTTCCGAGTAGCAGAGAAATGGCGGAACGGCGCTTGCTGTCGGTAGAAAGGCGCATGCATCAAGACGCAGAATTTGCTCTACGTTACAAGCAAGAATTGTCGAAATACGTGGCGAAAGGGTACGCCATAAAGCTAACCAGCCAGGAAATCAGCGCGCCATATGCACAAGCCTGGTATCTACCTCATTTTGCTGTCTTTAACCCAAGCAAGCCCAGCAAACTCCGCATCGTCTTCGACGCCGCAGCTACAGTGAATAAGGTTTCACTGAACTCAGTCTTGTTAAAGGGCCCCGAGCAGGCACAGCCGCTCATACGCATACTATTGCAATTCCGCCAGGGCGAAATTGGCGTAGCAGCGGATATAAGAGAGATGTTTTCGCAGGTTAAAGTACGACCGATGAACCAACATGCTCAGCGATATTTGTGGAGAGATGGAGACTCCAATCAACCGATCGAAGAATATATGATGACGTCGATGATCTTCGGGGCAGTTTGTTCGCCTTGCATCGCAGAGCATGTTAAAAACAAAAACGCAGAAAGGTTCAGAATTCAATTTCCCGAAGCAGCCTCCATTGTTATTAACAATCACTATGTCGATGACCTGGTGACTAGTTTTCACACGCCGGAGCACGCAATCAAAATTTGCAAACAGATAGTTGCCATCAATTCGGAAGCCGGGTTCGAATTGCGGAACTTCATCTCTAATTGCGGCTACATAGAGAAAGCCATGAACAAAACACCTCTAACGACAAGGGAGGTAATTAATATGGAACGCAACCAGACGGCTGACAAAGTACTTGGTATGTACTGGAATACCAGAGACGATACTTTCGAGTTCCATACAAAATTCCATCGCGTACCGCAGCCAGTGCTAGAGGGAATTCGCGCTCCGACAAAAAGAGAACTACTGGGCATAGTGATGGCAGTCTTCGACCCATTTGGGCTACTAGCGAACTTTTTGATAACTACGAAAATCATCATACAAGACACTAGAAGACTAGGCATTGGATGGGACGAGAAGTTAGATGCTGAATTGGCTGCAAGATGGTCCCGCTGGTGGAAGGAGTTCCCGAATATCAAAGAGTTTCAAGTACCAAGATACTACTCACCCAATATTTCGCACAGCAGCAGAATTGAGTTGCATATTTTCGCCGATGCCAGCCAGGCAGCCTTTGCAGCGGTGGGCTATTTCCGAGTGGTGTATGACAGTTCAGTTGACGTAACGTTCGTCATGGGTAAAACACGCACCGCGCCGAAGAGGCTTCTGTCTATACCACGACTTGAACTGCAAGCCGCAGTTCTAGGGACAAGGCTAAGTAAACTGCTTGTCAACAATCACAAATTTAAAATCAGTCGCGTTTTGTTTTGGAGCGACTCACAAACGGTCTTACAATGGGTCCACTCTTCAGAGAGAAAATACAAACCCTTCGTGGGCCATCGAATCTCTGAGATTGTAAGTGCAACTTCCCCTGAGCAGTGGCGCTGGGTACCCACAAACATCAACCCTGCAGATGCCGCTACGCGGCCGCAAAATCCACCTAGGTTCGATAAAAACTGTCACTGGATTAAAGGCCCAGACTTCCTGAAGAACGATGAAGAGCATTGGCCGTCCACCATTATCGAGCGTTCCAGCGGACTTCTGGAAGAAGTTGAAACGAGTTATATACTATATTGTCAGGCAAGTAGAACTCTAATAGATTTTACTAAATTTAACTCATATTTAAAGCTGAAACGTACTGTCGCCTGGGTCATACGAGCCCAACTTTTATTCCGGAGGAAATCGGTGCCCGTTGACGTACATCTGTCGAAGACCTTAACTGCTGCTGAAATCGACCAGGCAGAGCGTATAGTGAGCAAACAGGTACAGCAAGAGTGCTTCGCAAGCGAGATCGAACAGCTTTCCTCATCACGCAAGTTACCCCGGCAAAGTGGTGTGTATGGCCTTGCACCCTATCTAGACGAGGACGGCCTCTTGCGACTGAACGGTCGCATTGACGAGGCAACATGCCTACCATTCGACGCTCGCAGACCGATTCTGTTGCCGTCAAATCACGTTGTCGCAGCACTGATCGTCCAACACTACCACGAACAGAACCACCACCAGAATACGGCAGTCACAATCAACGCCGTAAGACAGAGATTCTGGATTCCGCACATAAAGACACTCTTAAAGAAGGTACAACGAAACTGTTTAAAATGCAAAATAAATAAAGCCAGCCCCGTCGCACCAATGATGGGACAACTTCCACCTGATCGCTTAACCCCGTATGTCCGCCCATTTTCGTATACTGGCGTTGACTTATTTGGACCGTTTAATGTTACAGTAGGGCGACGAAGGGAGAAAAGGTGGGGTGTCATCTTCACCTGCTTGACCGTGAGGGCAGCGCACATTGAGTTAGCCGAAAACCTCTCAACGGATGCGTTCATTCTGTGTCTACGGAATTTTATTAATCGTCGCGGCACCCCCGTGCGAATCAGGAGTGATAACGGCACGAATTTCATCGGGGCCCAAAAGGAGTTGAAAAACGCTGAACAACTATTCGACACCGACCGCATACAAGCAGAGGCCGCAAATAGATATATAGATTGGAAATTTAATTGCCCGTCCAACCCCAGCGCTGGTGGCTGTTGGGAGCGGCTGATTAGAATCGTGAAGTCCTTGCTGAGTCATACGCTGCGTGAAGTGGCGCCGAGAGTCGACACCCTACAATCTGTACTCACTGAAGCTGAGAGTATTATAAACTCCCGCCCGCTAACGGACTTGCCATTGTCACACGAAGACGATGAGCCACTCACACCGAACCACTTTCTGATCGGGTGCGTTAACTCAACTCAAACCCCGCATCCGGTCGATGAGAAAATTTGTCTGAGGAAGCAGTGGCGAATAGCGCAGAATCTCAAAGATCGCTTGTGGAAACGGTGGACCACGGAATATTTGCCTCAACTCATTTGTCGCAGCAAGTGGAGGGAGAAAGCGATCCCGCTGCAAATCAACGACTTAGTGCTAATATGTGAGCCATCCCAACCACGCACTCACTGGCAGAAGGGTCGTGTTACGAAGGTCTTCCCCGCAAAAGACGGCCAAGTTCGCGTAGCAGAAGTGAAGACAAGCAGCGGATTTTTACGTCGTCCTGCCACACGCCTAGCTCGGCTAATCGTAGAAGGTGAATCTCGGGAAGATTCACGGGGGGAGGAGTGTTGGGAACCCTGTCACTAAACCGGTTCACAATAGCCAACCTTGACAGCTAAGCGGCCATCATTGATTTTGACATATGTAGATACTTACAAAAATTTGGTCCTTTTTGATTCAGCGCGTTAAGGAAAGCAGACGTACCAGCAAAATACAATTTTAAAACCAACGAAACAACTAACCAACAATTTTCAAGCGAACTTGTATATGCAAACGATTTCTTATATATCAATAAATCTTATACAATTAAAACCAGTGAATTGCCTTTTCATCCAATAGTTACACACTGTGTAAGCCCGTTCTTTTATACAGTTTAAAAGAGTGCGACTTTTTATTTTTAAATTTTTTAAGCTCTTTAGTGGACCATAATTGTATTGGTTCTTCATGAACAATATTACGTTTTGGCACATATTTTCGAAATAAATTGAAAACAGTATCATTAAAGTGCTCAACGCTACGCTCCACGTCATCTCTATATATTGGCCAAGATAACTTTGAAAGTTCTTTGTTAATTTTCCTGAAATTTGCTTTCGCAAAAACATATCTAGTACTTGAACTTGACTTATTATTATGTATTTCATTTATGATTTCGTAGCTTAACTCAAGAGCAGGATGGTATGCATCTTCCGGCAAAACTAGGGGATCACACCGATTAATAGAGGCCTTCGGAACATCATCAACGTAAACGAGATACAAGACCTTTCCAAACTTATTTGGACATATATTTATTTGTTTGTGGCAAAGTTCAGCCATTTCCTCCAGAAATACATTGTAACTATCTCTAGATGAAACTGGTACAACATCGATGTCAATGATGTTCCATGAAATGTGTGGCAGATTTAAATCGCCCAAAACAATCATAGAATCAAAGCATTGCATTTACGGTCTCAAGTAAAGAAACTAGCTGCATATACATATACTGATACGGCAGAATTAGGAGGCATGTAGCAAAGAGCTAAATAAATATAAGACTTTCCAGCCTGTACACGTATACATTTAAATTCGGTATATTCAATGACAGGAAGACGTAACTTCCTCGGATGGTATCGATGAATGCACCGCAAAAAGAACACCACCGCCGATTCTGCCCACGCGGTCACTCCTGTATATTTGATATTAATTTGGAAGAATTTCGGAATTAAAAATATGAGGTTTGAGCCATGTTTCGGTCAAGGAAATAATATTATAATTGCAGTCAAAACCTTTTAAATATAAGTCAGTTAATTTGGTATTCAAACCTCTAACGTTTTGATAGTAAAAACTTAAATTAGACTTGCGAGTTAGTTTTTTGAATCCGAATTAGGATTAGAAATTTTAGCTACGTTATTATTACTTTTATTAGGTTTATACTCACACTCGCGAACAAACGCCCCGGTCGGCCAAAATGAACTATTTAGTAGTGAATCAAAATCTTCGGAAGCTACATCAATTTTAAAAGATGAAATATCGCGATCGTATTTAAAATTAAATTTACGAATAAATACATCTTTAGTTCTAATTTTAGTCGATATGTATGACTTTATATCATCCCAAGAAGTATATTTAGCAAAGATTGATCTTCATTCCCAAGACAGCCGGTTCTACGTACCGGAATGACTCGGGTTTTACCCGACCAAGGGCTGTTGTTTCGGCGACCTAACCCCGCTTAGATCGGCGATACCCCTCAATCATTGTTCGTCCATGGAGCAACTCCTTGCAGCCGGATTGCTCCGCATCCTTCTTCTCCGGGCGGGCGTAGAGCCCAACCCATCCAAACTCCACTTCGGTTAGGTGCAATTCATGCAACGGATGGAGTCACCTAAGAACCTGCTCTGGTCTTAGGTCTCATCGGGAGTGGACCACAAGCTATGTGGCTCCCTGCTGCTCAAGCCAAACGGCACAATCAGCCTCCACTGCTACCCGCTTGCGCAACGCGCCCAACACCCGAAGAGCCCGCACGGCTCCGAGAAGCTCTTCTGGGCAGCAGCAAACCTCCCGTTGCTCCGTAAAGATCGCGAGGACTAGCGTTCATCTTACACCACACAGCGCAGTATCGGCTTATCGAAGAAGACATCGACCCGAGGGACACCACCCTAGAATGTCAGGGCATAGCTGTCCGGTCAGGCGATGTCGAGCTCGAAATATTTAACGTTTATATACCCCCTGTCACCTGCTGCCCGGCAGGATATCACCCTGACATAGGTGCGCTACTCAGAGGTGAAAACCGAATGGTAGTAGGTGACTTCAACGCGCACCACGACCTATGGCACTCAAGCCTGGCCAATGATCGTAGGGGAAACCTTTTGGCTGAGCAGATAGACGATTCGACATTCTGCACCATGAACGACGACGCCCCCACCAGGATTATGGGTAGCTGCAGCAGCTCGCCAGACCTGACAATTGCTAGCGCTGGTTTGATCAATAGCATCTCATGGCGACCTATGCTAACACTAGCATCAGACCATCTACCCATAATCATCTCGATCAATAAGCCCACCGACTTTGCTCCCGCGGACCACCGAACCTACACCAACTTCAACAAAGCTGCTGGGACGGCTTCGCGGAAGTCACCGAGAGCAGTTTCGCCGCCCTTCCCACACCCACAAACATACATACTGGCGAACGCCAGTTCCGCTGGGTAGTCACTGCCGCAGCGGCTCGCTTCATCCCGTCCGGACGTATCGCGGAAGTCCGCCCAAATTTCTCGGCCGAAGCAGCTGTACTAGCAAATGAGCGTGACCACCTACGCCAGGTCGACACTAGGGACCCCCGTCTGAGGGACCTTAATTTGGAGATTTGGAAACTGGTAAATCAGCATAAGCGGAAAAAGTGGGAGGAGCACTTGAAGGCCTGTAACTTTACATCTGGTGTGAGTAAGCTCTGGTCAACCGTGAGGTCCCTGTCCAACCCAACGAAGCGTGATGACAGAGTGGAAATCTCTTTCGAAGGTCGCGCTTTGTCGGACCCGAAGAAATGCGCTGCCTACTTTAGTAGGCAATTCACACTGCACCCTGCGGTAGACAAGGGCAAACGTCGACTGACCAGGAGGTTGCACAAGCTGCCAAAAAACAGTGCACCACTTGTTTTCACCAGCTGTGAAGTGAAGGGGGCCATCGGAAAGGCGAAAGTCTCCAAAGCCATTGGACCCGACGGAATCTGTATGCTGATGCTAAAACATTTAGGGCCTAAGGGAGTAGCTTACCCAACGCAGGTCCTCAACCTGTCTATGGCCACTCTCATCATTCCTGATGTGTGGAAATCCGGCTCGAAGGACCAGTGTTTAGGCGGTAGGCCTTTTCGGGGAATAGGGTGAGATGACCCAACGGCGGGGGGTGAGCTGACCCTCAGATGGGGGTGCTGGCGAACCGGGAGGCTAGTGGTGGCGGCGATGTGGTCAATGGTGGCAGGCGGCGATGTGGTAGATGGTGGCAGGCGGCGATGCAAACGCTGGCGGCAGGCGATGTTGACGAACGGCGATTTGGGGAACGGGTGGCGGACGGCAATATCGCAACTGGCGGTGGCTGCTGTGCTTTTTTTGTAGATGCACAAACCGGAGGGGCGATGATTATCGGACGGCGCGTTTGGGTTTTCGACGCGGCAGGTGGATGTTTCGAAATAAAACACGGATGTTCGCTCTAAAATTACAATTTATTCCAAAACTTTTACGAGTTTATGCAACTAGGAAAACTACCGATTGCGCGGGATACAAATTGGGGTTTTCCTGCTGAAACCGGGGAATCCCGCCAACAAAGGAGACTTATCGCCCGATAACGCTCCTTTCCCCGGTCGCGAAGACGCTGGAGGCCCTACTACTCCCATACTTCACTTGCCACCTGACCCCAGCGAAGCAACAGCACTGATTCCGTAAAGTGCATAGCACAACAACAGCACTTAACGCCATAAACACCCAAATAACTCGTGGCCTAAATCGAAACCGCCCCTGCGAATCTTAGTAGCGCTGGACTTGTCAAAGGCGTTTGACACCGTCTGCCATTCCACGCTACTAGAAGACATCGAGGCCTCCTCACTCCCACAGGGACTGAAGCGATGGTCGGCGAATTATATGAGTGGTCAGTAATCTTCCGAGATCAAACCTCGAAACCAAGAAGAATTAAACAAGGGGTTCCACAACAAACAAGGAGTTCCACCTGAGGGAGTTTCCCTGATCTCATACGCTGACGATTGCTCGATTTTGGCGTCCAGGAATGGAATTGATGACCTCTGCTCAAAGGTAACGACTATCTCTCCAGCCTTTCTCGCTTCTGCACTGCAAGGAGCCTAACACTCTCCCCAACGAAATCAACGGCGATCCTCTTCACCACCTGGACGAAGGAAGTCAGGCTAGAGTTAGGCATACACGTCGATGGCACACCAATACCGACTGTAAACAACCCGAAAATTTGGGGCAAAAACAAAGAAACGTTGCTGGCAACATACAAGGCAATTGGGCTGCCGGTTCTAAACTATGCTGCGCCAGTTTGGACGCCGGGGACTAGTTGGACGCAGTGGACGAAGCTACAGACTTGTCAGAACGCAGCACTCCGGACAGCGA